CGGTGTCTACTTCTTTTAAGGCCTGATTGGCTGCGGTGTTGATGCTTCATGCAACATTTCACTTTCAATAAGGACATATTACTTGGACACTTGTTGCATTGCGACTGGTTACAAAACTCTGTAACACCGTATTCAGCTGACACACACATTTAGTACTCCAAATGGAAACAGTATCACTACCGTACACGACACTTCCATGAGGATCATAGAACTTTGACACCCTCTTCATCAACGGCTTCAGAGACGAGTTCAAAAGGCACACAGCGCTGTGAGGATCTGCTGACCGTGAGCGTAATCTTTCTTGACCCTTACCTCAACCCTGTTCCAGAGCGCTCCATTTAACATCCAAACGCTCAGCTCTAACTTAAATATTTACACACGAGAGAAGTACAGGCACAATTACACTTGCCCCAGTGTGTTTACAGGGCTGACAGGGTCAAATATGAAGACAGATGAACCTGATGACAAGGAAAGTGTACTAAACGCCATGATAAGATGGGTGAGATCAAAATACTATTGTTACTTATATGGAAAAGTTCAGCCAGAAATGTAAATGCCCTTATTTATGTTGCAAATGTTGTTATAACCCATATATATTTTTCTTCACAAAAAAAAAAACAAAAGATTTGACAATTTTTTTTCCCCTTTTTGGAGCTTTTAGTTGTATGGAAAATATAACTGTGACAGTAAAGACTTTTATGTTGTTAAATGTATAAATATTTTTATTTCAAACAAATGCTGTTCTTTTAAATTTCTATTTCGAATCCTGAAAAAAAACTATGCATCATGGTTTCATCAAAAATGAAGCAGCACAACTGTTTTCAACATTGATGATAATGAGAAATTTTTGTTCAGCAGCAAATCAGCATATTAGAATGATTTCTGAAGGATCATGTGACACTGAAGACTGGAGTAATGGTGCCGAAAATTCAGCTTTGCATCACAGGAATAAATCATATTTCAAAATATATTCAAGTTGAGACCAGTTATTTTAAACGGCAATAATATTTCACAATATTTTACAGTTTTTACTGTATTTTAAGCAAATAGCTGCAGCCTTGGCAAGCATAAAACACTTGTTTCAAAAACATTTAACACAAACCTTTGAATGGTAGTGTATATGTAAAAATGCTTGTGTGTATGAGCTCAATGGGAGAAATAACAGCATACAAGTTTGGAGCAACATGAGGGTGAGTAAATAATGCCTGATTGTTCATTTTTGGGTCAGCTACTCTTTTAACATTATGTCCAGAGGAGCCGTCTGACATAAAACAGACATGAGGGTATTGATGGAATGAGAAGGAAAAATGTGGTCTGTCCGGGGTGGACGTGTCTGGGGTGTCCCAAAAGCAATGTTCCCTTCAGTCTCTGTCTGTATTATCCAGTACCAAATATGAACTCACAATGTTGAGAGAATAACAGAAATGCCACTAAAAATCCTGTTCTTTAAATAGTGAAAAACAGATCTTTGTGCAGAGACAACATCTGAAGTCAGGAGAGCACAAACACCCCTACACCTCTGCTGTGGGCTGGAGTGGCACGTCCTGATTTAACTGGGTAACACACACAACAGAGACTCCATCAGCCTCTCCCATTACATAAGCACTGCATAGAAGCACACCAACAAAGCCTTTTCTGTGCTTCAAGTCGGACACGCACTGTTTGTCATAAGCAGACCTAGATGGTATTTTTACACATTTTATTTGGGGAAAATCTGAGGAATTTTGTGTAACTGATTTAAATGTATTCAAATGAATTGTGCTGCAAGAACTACACTTTTATTGATAGCTGAATAATCAAATTAGGCTAAATATTTCACAAACAAACATGTCACATGAACACAGGTGGGGAATGAGTAGAGCTTTGTGAATGGCGGCTGTTTCTGAGATTCTGAGAAAATATTTACTGAGTTTTATAGACTTGATCATGAGGCACTAAACATACGTCACAATGCAAGAGAATCTGAATTTTTGAGCCTGCTGACTGATGTGTGCACATGTGTACACAATTAAAGAAAAGAGAATAAAGCAAGCTCCACTAATGCATAATACAAACATCCATAAAACAGCATGGAATTATCACACACACACACACACACGAATAGTAATTCTACATGAGTACAAAATGAAAAACAGGGTTTTTTTCTGTATTGAAATAAAAGAGAGAGCTGTGCAGGTATGAGGAGGTTAGTCAATCGTAATGGTAGAACTGAACGTCAAGAAAATCATTGCGTTTCCACATCTTTTGTAAATCCATTCTTGCTATCTCCTGGTAACTTGATCGAGCAGACGCCCGTATCTAAAATGATAGCAGAGGGTATCATGGGATGCTGAAGACTAAAAAAAAAAACAATGAAAAAAGCCAAACGAGCAAAATCTAACCATGTGGAGCATATTTTTTTCCCTTCGCATCCATAAATCCATCAGTTCCGCTAGCTCAGCACACTGCTATCAGAGGAGGATGTGATAGCAGGGGAAAAGAAGCAGCAAGAAACGACATGCTCACTCTTTCCAGCTGATCTAAAGCCACTTTTGTCTTCTGCTGAGGCAGGATGTGGTTAAGAGTCTGAGAGTACGAACTCTGATCCAACATCAGTTCATAAGAGCAGAGGGGGGGGGGGGGGGAAATGAAGTGAGCTTTGACGGCTGAAAAAACGAATTTAAACCAGTCCAATCCGTGTGTTTCTGTCTGCAATTCTCACTAAAAGAATGGCACGACGAACACAGCGCCATCCGTCTTCAAGTCCTCCTGCCAACCTGCTTTCACACGACAATGAAGTTAATGTTGACAGACGGCCCGCACTCGCTAAGGCTCACTGACATCACCATAGTGAGGAATACAGAGGATAAAGAAAAGAGAATAAGAACTGTGTTTGAGAAGCACCTTTCTTCATATTGCATGAATAGCTGTTTAAAGAGAATACACAATAATAAATCAGAAAGCTCCAAAAACATACACATGGATGTGGCTAGGACAGATGCAACGTCATGGACGACTGGATTAGATAAAAACCAATCAAGCTAAAGAAGAAACATGGATATGCAGGTATGTTTTGGTTTAATTTAGCGATGCATGATTTATATCAATGACTCCAATTTCACATTTTTTCTAATTCTCTGCAATAGTCAAATTAGGTTTCAATTAGAAACAGATAACTGCTTTCCCCACATATACTCATAACATAAAAACATACATAAAAATAATTATAACTGTATTATTGCCCAAAATATCTGTGCACCCTTTGTTTATTTTACTGAGAAGGCCTAATTGCTCAAGAGATGCTATTATATATTCCAATTGAATTCCTAAATTGGTAACACTAGTTTAGGAACCAATTCTCACTATTAAAGCTGCTTATTAGCATGCATACTACTAGCATACTGGCTGTTTATTAGTACTTATAAAGCACATATTAATGCTTTATTCCATGACCATATTCTAGATCCCTTAATCCTACCCAAACCTAAACTTAACAGCTACCTTACTAACTATTAATAAGCAGCAAATTAGGAGTTTATTGAGGCAAAAGTTATAGTTAATAGTTAGTTAATAGTGAGAATTGGTCCTCTAAAGTGTGCCCCTAATTTGTATTTGAATTGAGGAAGCAAAAAGGATGCAGAATTGACCATTTGAATTAAAAAAAAATTACAATTAAAACCAAAAATTAATGTATCTGCAAAAAGTGTAATGTTCAACTAGGAAAGGAACGTCTGTCAAGACAAATCTTGAGTGTAGGCTTTATAGAACATTTTGAAAGTCTAGTTTGTATTCAACAGCATTCATAGTAAAGCTCCAAACCCCCACATATACTCATAACATAAAAACATACATAAAAATAATTATAACTGTATTATTGCCCAAAATATCTGTGCACCCTTTGTTTATTTTACTGAGAAGGCCTAATTGCTCAAGAGATGCTATTATATATTCCAATTGAATTCCTAAATTGGTAACACTAGTTTAGGAACCAATTCTCACTATTAAAGCTGCTTATTAGCATGCATACTACTAGCATACTGGCTGTTTATTAGTACTTATAAAGCACATATTAATGCTTTATTCCATGACCATATTCTAGATCCCTTAATCCTACCCAAACCTAAACTTAACAGCTACCTTACTAACTATTAATAAGCAGCAAATTAGGAGTTTATTGAGGCAAAAGTTATAGTTAATAGTTAGTTAATAGTGAGAATTGGTCCTCTAAAGTGTGCCCCTAATTTGTATTTGAATTGAGGAAGCAAAAAGGATGCAGAATTGACCATTTGAATTAAAAAAAAATTACAATTAAAACCAAAAATTAATGTATCTGCAAAAAAGTGTAATGTTCAACTAGGAAAGGAACGTCTGTCAAGACAAATCTTGAGTGTAGGCTTTATAGAACATTTTGAAAGTCTAGTTTGTATTCAACAGCATTCATAGTAAAGCTCCAAACGAACAAAAATAATAACTTTAAAACACATAAAAAAATTTGAAAATGTGAAAAGAAAGAAGGAAAGAAAGAAAGAAAGAAAGAAAGAAAGAAAGAAAGAAAGAAAGAAAGAAAGAAAGAAAGAAAGAAAGAAAAGAAAAATAAAGACACTCAAACTAACCTAAAACCAAAAAGGATGGATTTGAAATATGGCCAGAAAACATTAAAATAATTTTCTACTTTTTGTGCATTTTTTATCCTCAGGTTAATCTACTGTACAGGTTAAATGCTCAAAAGATATCACATAAACTGAAAACACTAATTGCAATATAATGAGATTTTATATGAGAGGGAGGTAAAGTCCTGACAAAAAAAAAAGGCATTTGCTTCATTTTCACTTGCTCTAAAAACCTCCACCCCTCCGGCTGGGGCACGCCGTGGGGTCCATACCTGAGATTTATTAGAAGAGCAATTAATCAGGGGCATAAATCCTCAGCTTCACCGCTAGCTAGGAATCTAATCTGTGAACACCTCAACTCTGGGGAGTGAAGATAATAATTAATAATAATAATAATAATAAAGATTATGTCTACACAAGCTGATCTGGGAGAGCAATGTCAACATTGACCTACAGAAAACAACACAAAAATGGTTTACACATCATAAAAGCCATTAAATGTTTTAAGTTCATTAATGTTATCATCTCAAACTTTGAATTCTAGTCAAACCAAAAAATTTAAGGATTTATTATTGAGGTCATGGATTTTCTTGCAAGTTTTGTAATTGTAGAACAATTAGCTGTTCTTTTCTAAATCTGTGGAATTTGTCACTGTCACTTACAAGATGCAGCTGAACCCTCAAATCCAGATCAGAACCACAAACTGGGTCCTAAAGGCTATCGTGGGGCACGAAGGGAACCCAAACCCTCCCACTGCGAGCCAAGGGAGTCTAAATAGCAGCAGGATGTCGGCTTTTCACCATTAACTATGATTTCATGCACATCTGGGGCCTATTTCCTCTGTAGAGGTCCATTTCATTTTTTAGAAGTATTCATAGGTACTTACAGGCTGAGAAGACTCAATGAGAGAAACTAGATATTTAGACTTTCTGAAGAAAATGTAGACCATGCAAAAGGTGTCTGAACAAACCTTTAACCCTGAGTATGTGTAATAGTAACAGTGGCACACATAGTAAAATATAGAATTGTGTGCACTGCAGTCATGAATTCCAACTGCAACCTGTCTAAACATTTACCATGCTGTCCACATTCCCTCCTGCTCCATAGAGTCCCGAACAATGCCTGGCCTATCCCTTCTGACAAAACGGCAAACACACGCAGGAACAAGGACAGGTCTGTGCTTTGACAGACACAAGTACACACTTGCTTTCCTCCATTTCTATCTTATCTTGGCTTTGAGACGCACACAAAGAGCAAACACAGTTGCCATGTTGTGCCAGAAAATGTAGACCATGCAAAAGGTGTCTGAACAAACCTTTAACCCTGAGTATGTGTAATAGTAACAGTGGCACACATAGTAAAATATAGAATTGTGTGCACTGCAGTCATGAATTCCAACTGCAACCTGTCTAAACATTTACCATGCTGTCCACATTCCCTCCTGCTCCAGAGTCCCGAACAATGCCTGGCCTATCCCTTCTGACAAAACGGCAAACACACGCAGGAACAAGGACAGGTCTGTGCTTTGACAGACACAAGTACACACTTGCTTTCCTCCATTTCTATCTTATCTTGGCTTTGAGACGCACACAAAGAGCAAACACAGTTGCCATGTTGTGCTTATAGTTTAAATTGAAGGTTACACACACAATTGACGAGTACATATGAAATAGAGGCACAAAGTGCTAAAGAGGCGGGATTCAGATCAGGTGTTGAATGCTGTGGCCAGAAACATGCTCTACGCAAGTATGCAATCACAGACCTGTGGTTTTGCATTACAGCCAAAGGGGGCGATAGAGTTGCTTTCAAATATCCGTGCAATAAAACCATGCCAAGTGTTAATATTCACCTGCAAAAATGAGTCCTAAAACCTGGAAACGAGTTTGCATTTTTGCGCCGTTTCCTTTGCCTTTTGAATGTGTTTTTGGTTAAACGTCCGAAACAAGGTCTATGGTAAATACAAGCTCAAGATCTTTTCACATTTCATTCAACGACATAAAATACATCAGTAACACCCTACTCGTGATTTTTAAGCTTTTATGTGTCTTGAAAAAGGCAGACAAGTGGCTAAATGGGACTACGGATCACAATAAACAGGAAAACTCCTCAACTCACTACACGTTTAAAAATAAATGTTCCTTGTTGGCATCTATGGTTCCATGAAGAACCTTTAACATCCATGAAACCAAATTTCCATTTCCATTGGACCAAAAGGTTCTTTGTAAAGTGGAAAAATGTTCTTCAGATTATTCAAATGTTCTTAACTCCAACCAAAAATTATTCTTTCAAGAACCATTCACTGAAAGATTCTTTGTGGAACCCAAAATGGCACTTATTTTGGCGACCATTTTTTTTAAAGTGTAGTCCTTTTTCACAGCCCCGTGCTCCTGCAAACTATTCTAACTCAAACTTTACAACTTGTCGATTATAAATAAACATCAAAGAGTTAATGGAAGCTGACATTTAAGTCATATGACCATCAAAATTCGTGAAGATTATCTTGATTAACAAAACTTGTAGGAATCATAAACGTTAGTTGGTCACACAACGTATTTTCTGCTATAATTCAAAAGCCAATGGAAACACCCGACTGGCTTTTTGTCAAGGGAACCAGGCTGATGCTTACTTTCAGGCTGGACTACAAAAATATCATCTATTGATTTAGGTTGTAAGATCTGTCTAGCACACAAAAAAGGGAGGGCTGACCTGGACTAAGACCCGATGCTGCCCTATAGGTCAGTTAAACAGCGAGTGCATGTCTATACAAAGAAAACCCTTTTATTTTTCCTCAAACTAACCCTCTAGTCACTTTCTCTGGCATTCATGAACGCCGCACAGATGGCAAGACCGCCCTGTTAGAGCTGACATCAGGGGAGACCTTGCTGAATGACACGTGTAAACACACTCTCACACAAACAGCGGTCGGACAGGGCTTTGTAAATGAGCAGAGGAGAGGTGCTCTCTGACAGACGTGTGTAAATAAAGATCCCTCCCTCTCCTTACATACTAAACTATGGCATGCATACAAAGTACCACACACTGGTCCTCAGGAGAGCATCAAACCGCATTCAAAATTCAGATATTTACACAAACCTGCAGTTTAAACACACAGAGTTGGGCGAGTCATTTCACCTCACTCGACACATTACCATGGGACAGAATTCAAATAAACACAATGTCCCGACTGCTAACTAATGCCTCCTCAGACATACACACACAAATACACGCTCACTTGTAGTGCCTGGCTGGGCTGTGTATCAGGGGTCCGTAGATGACAGGTTAATGATGGGAAAATATTTTTACAGGATCACGTTTCAGCAGGGCAGAGTTTTACAGGCGCAGCCTCCCGAGCCTCGTTTTATCTCTCTATCTTTCCTGTCGTTTATTGGCGGGTGGCTTAAGTGCAGCGGTCTTACAGCCTTAACACTCACCTTCCTTAAGTGCTTTTCACTCCAGACATATCTGATCTGGCTAATTAGATGAATGCCCAAAAATAAAGCTTGTATGGAAATTAGCACCACATTTGTGCCACGTTTTAAACTACCAAAAAAAAAAGTATGAAAAAGTATGAAAAAAAAAAAGGGTAACACTTTACTGCGTGCAGTTGCCGTACTGTATTAAAGCTTTAATCAGGATAAAACAGTTTATTAAAATGTAACATAAGCAGTAGCATTTACAAATAACAGCGTATCTAAAAGTATGAGACAACAACAAACAAAAACATAGGCCTACCATTAAAAGCCGTGCTTGCACAGGTTCTGCACGATACTCTTCAAAAATATCCTCTGCTTCTCAATCGGGCTCAAACTGATAAGCGATATTAACGATGCCTTTGTTTACAATACAACTGGAGCACATGCCGCTGAGGAGAGGGGCGGGACGTTTAGACGCGCACTAGAGACGGTTTAGCCAATCACAACACACTGGGCTAGCTAACCAATCAGAGCCCATCGCCTATTTCTGAGGGAGGGGCTTCATAAAAGAAGAAAACGATCAGCGTGTTAATAGGAGAAGGGACAGAGCAGTGTGGAATAAAGGTAAATTATGTAAAAAAATTATGCGTTTCTTAAAAAACGAAGCATTAACACATGTTAGACTGCACCCCATAAACACAATCAAGCCTAGAAAAAAACCACTGAACCATCCCTTTAACATTCAACACATACCAATACATTATTAAAATCCAAAGTTGTATCTGTTATCAAGTAATGAACCTGAGCTAACATGAACTAACAAGATGAATGTTAGTTAACATTAGTTAATGCATTAATTAATGCTAACTAATTAACCTAATTGTAATATTACTGAAAAAAGTTTTAAATCCAATGATCTATTATAACACAAAACCACTTAAAAAAAAATCTGGAGAAAATTTGATGTGTGAATGTTTGGGATTGGTAAAAGTTTTACATTTATTTGAAAGAAGTTGCTTATGGCCATGCACCGCCTGCATTTATTTGGACACAATAAAATAATAATAAACAAAATAAAATACAATAAACACAATCAAGCCTAGAAAAAAACCACTGAACCATCCCTTTAACATTCAACACATACCAATACATTATTAAAATCCAAAGTTGTATCTGTTATCAAGTAATGAACCTGAGCTAACATGAACTAACAAGATGAATGTTAGTTAACATTAGTTAATGCATTAATTAATGCTAACTAATTAACCTAATTGTAATATTACTGAAAAAAGTTTTAAATCCAATGATCTATTATAACACAAAACCACTTAAAAAAAAATCTGGAGAAAATTTGATTTGGGATTGGTAAAAGTTTTACATTGATTTGAAAGAAGTTGCTTATGGCCATACACCGCCTGCATTTATTTGGACACAATAAAATAATAATAAACAAAATAAAATACAGTAATTTTGTAAAATATTATTACAATTTAAAATAGCTGTTTTCTATTTGAATATATTTTACAATTTAATTTATTCCTGTGATACAAAGCTGTATTTTCAGCATCATTACTCCAGTCTTCAGTATCACATGATCCTCCAGAAATCAGTATAATATGCTGATTTGCTGCTCAAGAAACATTTCTGATTATTATCAGCGTTAAAAATAGTCATGCTGCTTCATGTTTTTCTTAAGATTTTTTAATGCAAAGTTCAAAAGAACAGCATTTATAAAAATGATTTTTGTAGCATTATAAATGTCACGTTTGATCAAATTAAAGGATCCTGAATTAATAAGTACATTTCTTTTAAAAAATAAAATAAAAATCTTACACCAAACTTAAAAAAAATATATTAAAAAGGGTGAAAAATGTAACATGCTTTATACAAATCACATTAAGTACAAAACAAGACTCCCATGTTTCATTTCAATGCTCCTACAGGGGAAAAAAAACAGAAGATAGTCTAAGTTTCGTTTGCTCGGTTTCATGCTCTATATATCAAAGTGTGCTATATGTCATACGGTCTGGAGGCCCT